TTAAATTTCTGGCTAGGCCAGGCTTTGACACTGTCTCTACCACAGAGTAAGGAATATAACATTTATGTCATACGTTTTCCGAAGATGTAATGACCCTTGCATGCCAGGGCTGAAATGAATGACTTCATGGAGACATTAACTGGCTCAGCTGGATATTACACTGGACGAGTAGCTGCTTGGAGTTAAGCAAGATCCTGGCTGGGAGTGGAAGGAGAACGGATGGCATTTTGAAGAGGTACATTTCCTTCCTTCTGAGTTTTTGGGATTTAATAGAACACACATGCCCAAGGGTCAAAACACTGAAAGAATAACTCAAAAAAATTAATAAATAAATATAGAGAGAGTAAAAAAGGAGAGATTTGGAAGAGCCCAGTGTTAAGCCAACTGATGACTACATAGTACTTCATAAGGAGAGAAGCCCTATCTGAGGCTGAGATGGCTAGAAACTCATCTAGAGTTTTCTAGAGGTTTCCACCAGGCACAGCTCACTCAGGTCAGCAGAACACCTTGGTCAGACCGACTGATGGGTCAGGTGAGAGGCAAAAGGGGGGGCAATCAGGGAAAAATGCCAAATGTCTTTGAGGTGACCCCATATTTGATGATAACATCAAGAAATTGCTAGAAAAAGTTAAGAGTTGGAAATAAAGAACCTTTCCAGGATAGAAATACAAAAGCTCAGTGAAAGAATTGACATGTGGGGGCATGTGGCAAATACTCAAAGCAAGGCGCAGAAACCACACAGATTGAAAAGGAATGTTCCACAAGTCTGAAAGGAGGAAGGAAAGGTAATTAGCATAAGGAGACTTCAGGGCATACAATATGGTCTCCATCCCACCCATCACAGTGATGGGCAAAGATTCTAAATCCCTGGCTCCTTTCAGGAAGCTTGATGCATCACTAATGTGCTCTGCCACAAAGCTGTCCTACTCATGGCTAAAATGGAGGATGTCAAAGAAGTTAACTGCCAACCCCGGCACTTTTTCAGGCAGCACAAATTAACCTGCTGAAATCCAGCAGACGCAGTTTCCAACTCGTCGTACTACAAGTCGACTTGGAGCCAACACAATCAGAAATGCTTTAATCACCTCACAAATAATGAGGCAGACCCAAATTTACAAGGCTGAGTTTCAAAAACAGGAAGCAAAGTGGCAATACAGATATTATATCAGTGTTCTCTATCCACTTTTATTTTATTGTAGATATTAAAAACATTGACATTTTCTACTTAGAGGTGTGCGTTCTTCCAGTTTCAAATCAATTAGCTACACTGAGAATCAGTCCTTGAGTGTTTTCATCATGTTCATTTTATTAAAGTTCACACAAGATATACAGAGTATTTTTATATTTCTCTACCCTAGAGCCTTGTCAAATTGAGATCAGACACAGAGCCTCTTCCTGAGAGTTTAGGGTCAGTTTCCAGACCTCAGGTGCCACGTTCTTACTGGCCAGAAGACACAATGGGCTGTTGAACAACTGGACATTCTGAGCCTCCAGACAGTGTTCGGCCTGACTAGTTCCTGAATCTGAAGAGAGTTTGAGTTTTTGTAAGAAGAAAAATTCAACTGTTGGTAATTTTTTCTTCTCTGGAACAACAACACCCCTGAATTCCTTTAAAGCACAGCATTTGATCACATCAAATTGTTTTTGTGCAGAAGGTGTGTTTAGAGAACAAGCGTAAGGGTGGAAAACGCGATCTTCCCACACAAGAGCAATGTGGGTGGTCGGTAGGACAAGTGACTGGTAGCAGTCCTGGCTGGAGTCACCCTCAACTCTGACTGTCATGTAGAATAATAACTGGACCTCCGCCAGAGAGGGAATGCTAGTTTCCATGAAGGAAGTAAATCAGGTCAACTAAGGTATTGTGGAATTTGGATGACAACCAAACTCCGTTTGCCAAAACTAAATCAGGAATTTCTGCTTTCCAACCAAGTGAAAGCTGAACCAGATCTTGTTGGAGTAAAGGATGATTAGTGCAGGCAGCAAACTCAGACTCAGATATCAGGACACAGAGGAGGTCATGGCATATCTGTTGACAGAGGTTTTTGTTGTAACTAAATACAGTGAGCAGGAGACTCTCAGCAGAGGCCAGGAATCAAATGCTCTGTCCACCAAAGCCAATTTGAATCTCCTGTAGATCAGACAGAGGCAGAGCATGAAAAATTCCCACTGAGCTGGGTTGGTTATAAGACACAACCAATGCATATAAAGTTGAACAAAGCAGGAGCAAGCAAGCTGCCGGGGGTCTGGTTCTATGCAGTTAGCAACAGTAAGCCAGTAAATGCCTTTGAATCATTCATGTCACTCAAAAGTTCTGGTAGGGAACAAGTCACATGCTCAAGAAAGTCTTTTAAAGGGCATTCTTGAAGTTTCAGCATCTGGTCTGGGAATTGCACAAGGGTCTGCTTCAACACAGAGCTCTTTCCAGCATCTTCATATTCCAGTTGGAAACTTGAGCTTGGCAAGGCATCTGGTAACTCTGCAGCTGTGGAGGCAGGAAGGAGGCCTGGTGCTCTGCAAGGCATGGTGTGCTCTGCTGGCCTGGCAGCCCCTGTCTCTTTGCTGCTGCTGTCGCTACTCTGAGCTAGGGGAGAGTGAAATTCTGATGATGCCCTGCGAGACTTCAAGGGTGTGCCCAGGGGTAAGTGTTTCAGAAATGGCAGCCATCTGATAAAAGCTGGGATGTGGGAGAGGAGCCCCCCTGAGTCATGCAAGCTCCTCGTGTTGCTGATCACATTCGTGCTAGCCTCTCACAGGTGACAGCTAGTATCTTTAGAAAGTTCTAAGAGCCTTTGGTGAAAATATCCCAACCTACTGTTTCCTTCTGTGCTGGTACTTATTAGTGACTCTGAAGAAATAGATTTTTCAGCAGCTCTTTCTCAGCTTGCTGCTTGCTCCAAAACACTGAGGCTGGTACACTCTGAGGACAGTCACAGGATGCACTCTCCTCACTGGAAATACTTGCTAAAAGGACAAAGGAGAGTAACTGGCTCTGCCTGGTTTGCTTGTTTCCACTGCTTATAGATACTTCCCGGGATGTGTGTTGCAGCAAAGTCCAGCCAGACTGAATTCCCACACAGTGTTCATCTTTACCAATCATCAATTCACTGAAGTTTTCTGACTTAGCTTGCAAATGGTCTACATTGCTGGTATTGCTTTCATTTAAAAAAGAGATTTTAGGCAGATTAAAACATTCTGGTTGAATACTGCCCAGGTTCTCAGGACCACTGTATTTTCAGTCACTCCTCTGCACCTCATGTGATGAGGGCTGATCCCTCCGCGGGTGGGTTTGAGCCAGCAATGCTGAGGAGGGAGTTAAAGGGCCTGAGAGGTTCCAGGTCATGGGAAGATTCTGGTGGTTGTTCTGATCCACCTCCATTCTCTTCTCTTCAATGACACTGGAAGTGTCAGTGACATCTCTGGGCAGAATCTGGGCAATATAACTTTTCTGTTCAAGATGTCAAAAACAGTTGAAATGGAAATGTGGTAGCATGTTTTGTGATTCTTTTGTACATGATGATTCTTGCAGTCATTGGTTTCATTGTATGCATTAATTCAGAGGCTTAATCAAAAGCCTAAGTCATTTGTATTGATTGATATATGATTTAAAAACAGAAGATATGATTCACACATAGAACATCAATTACCATATCATATATCTTAGAGAAGTGTGAAGTATTTTGAGATATATATGTAGATCCACAGTATCCATTTCCTGGTTGAGTACTTCATTTACTCTAAAGTAAATCTTAAAATATTTGACCTGATTTTCAAAATGATCAAATTTTATTTTTAAAGTAAGTCCATGACCTTTTGTCCAAAATGCAAAAGAAATCAGGACATATGTAATGAAATCAGATAGCAAAGCAAAAAGAAACTGACAAGTCTTCAACCCAACTCATGTTTCTCTCACTTCTCGATTTGTTTTATGAGAGGTCTTAGTTATCTGCCCTGGTTAGACTACCTTTACCATAGCTACAAAGCAGAATTAAGGGGCCTCCCCTGGTGGCGCAGAGGTTGAGCACAGGGCTGCGAAGCTGCCCACAGCCTCTGCAACGCCAGTTCAGGGTCCCACATGGTGCGACCCTGCTGCACCCGCTGCTCCCCTCAGCAGTGTATTTCATCAGTCTGCCTGTTCTGGTCCTTGCTCTGGCTCTGGTGAATCCTCTCACCCTCCCAGGCTTCTGACTATACCCAGTGCTTGTATAAATAAATAAATAAATCTTTTTTAAAAAAAACAAAAAAGCAGAATTAGGAAAGGTAAGGTCCTATTCTTCACAAGATTACCCAATAAGGATGTAGGTGTTCAGAGGAAGATGATGCCATTATTGGATTACTGGATAAAAGGTGTGGCAGTGGCCAAAGCGAGTAAAACTGCTGTAGAGACCCATCTATAACCTTCTGCTTTCTATCCAGTAAAATATAGACACTATTCATAAGAGATGTCTACCACTAGTAGTTTTGTTTCTTCACTTTTTTGATTTAGGAATAGACAGCAAGGACAAGTCCCTCATTGGGGAAAACATAAGTAAAATCATACAAATTATATGTCCAAATAAACCTTGGTTTGACAATCTACCAGAGAAGCAAGTGTATCAACCAGAGTATTTCCTTTGTACTACAGCCAATTTGGAGTCTATAAAACAAGCAGGGTTTTAAAAACATCAAGAAGTGCTCAGTTTCATTTTCAAACCCCATATCTGATTCTGATTATATAATTCTGTCTTTTAAATGCAGACCAAGGGAAAGGATACAGTTACGGAGGAAAAGCTGAGCAAAGGCCTCCACCACAACTACATGCCATTCAAATAAAGTCAAAGCAGTTTTAAACTGCAGGATTCCATTTAATTTTAAGTCCATATAATAGCTTGCCTTCCCTATTAGCCATTAATCTCACTGGGACTTCAAAATTCTAATTATGCAACTAAACATTAAGAAAATTTAATCACATGAGCATGGCATAATTTAAGGCGACCCTATCAATCTGAAAAATCATTACCTACCTCATATTTTAGCTTACGTTGAATGGTACCATTGTGAAGTTTCTCATTATCCTGAAAAGAAAATAAAAAGCCCTCCATATTAAATTATAGTACGTTCATAGAGGGGAAGAGAACTGATTTGATTAGAAATATTTATGGGAACAAAATTTTAAAGAAACATACTTGTCACTCAACAATGACAACCCTTCTATCCCCAAGGTAAACATGACTCTATCGATCCATCTGCTTAAAAGAAAACTGAGCTATTTTTCCTGATCTTAAAATTCTAAGAATAATATTCAAAGAGAGATTTCCTTAGGACACTTTTTTGCAGGATAGAAATAAAGTATCCTTAATTTGATAAAAATCAACTTATCACAAATATGTATCTTCTCAAAGGCAAAAATTGTATTTACTTGGTGTAATTTATCAAACAAATTTAATCCTTAAGGAAATTTATTGTATTCTTTGAGAAAACAGAAAATGTTACATGTAGAATTTTTATAAATCAAAGTAAATAAAACATTTTAGGAGACTTTATATTCACTTAAAAATATCCCCCAGGAGTTCAAAAATTTTTAGTTAAGTTATTCTTTAATTAATACTATTTGTAAACCATCACAAGTTCCACACAAGCATTATTTAATGTTTCTAGAATATTTTGCATCTCAATTTTTTTCACTGAGAAACATAATGAAAGACCTCATCACCACCACCAATAACTTATTGAAGGGTCATCGTGAAAAAGAGTGGCTGTATTATCTGGTTCCTCCAGCTCACCTTTGTCATATCTGCTGATGTATTACTGTCGTTGCCAATCACACGATGCAAATCCTGAAGCCGTCTTTGGACTTCCTCTTCAATGTAAGCACTGATCCTGAAAACAACGGAGGTGGGGGTAACTGAGTATTTTTAACCACACAGGACATTTTGAGATTTCTTTATCACGCCCTTCATGACAGGAAACTTCCTTTCTGATTCCAAATACCAAGCAACAACTTTAGGCCTTAAACATCTTTCCTAGTAAGACATCTAGTGCCATGTGCTCACACTATCTGGGTTTTACCCAAATAAGAGAGAACTAGACAATCAACAGAATAACACAAGTTTGGGAATGGAAGGGGGACTAAGTGATCTCATCTAACTCTGTGCTGAATTTCCACAGTGAGGCTCCTGTTGCTGGGTAGACGGAATCAGACACTGGCTTTAGAAGGCTCTGTGTTCTGAGGACTCACTCCGAGACCCAACACTTTACACATCAAGTCTCAGTTTCCTCATATAGAAAATGTTGAATGGTGATTACTATTTCTCACATCACAAGAGGAGGAAAGATCTTACAGGAAGAGTAGTAAAAGGAAAAGAAAAAAAAAAGTGGGAACACTTTCTAGAATTTTTCACTAGTATGCCAGTACAATGCCTCTCATTGGCCCTATTCTGTCTTATCTCACCAACTGGAATATTGCACCTGGTCAAGAGAGTTCACATTTTAAGTCTCTACCTTCCAAAATGACTGGCACAGGAACAAGAGAGTGAAATTTAAAGAAACCTAAGAAAGTCAGAAAACAGTTGACTTTCAAGGCAGTTGTCAACTAATTGGTATCCCATATAATGTTGGTGATGTTGCATTAAGCACAACCATTCAGTCAGCAGAATCAGACTAAAGAATTAAAGTTTCTTCTAAAATCTCTCTAGTCATTCTCATTGTCCAAATGGAAGGCTTATTACTCAGTTCTAGGATCTCCCTTTCCCAATAAAGACATGAATTTTTTTAAGTAGATGGTTTGGCATGTTTATATGTTACTACACTAAAAACAAACAAAAAGGCTGATTTCATTTTTCTAAGCACATGCATAATCCATAATAAACATTTCTGTACTATTGACCATGGCTAAACGGTTTTCTGAAATGTTAGGTAGAGAAATTAATATTTTAGGTAAAATAGACCAGAGGATGAAGTTAAGGTGATGAAGTATTTACCTTTCAATATTTAAAAGAAAGTCATGTGCAGCTAAACCTGCACCAAGGCCAATAATAAATTACTTCCCCAGATCTTTACTTCAATTTTAAACTAGCCCTGCAGAAGATACAGACCTACGTATGTTTCAAGGACTACAGAGACTCATGTCATTCTGAGTAACTCTGGATATCCAAATACATTACTACCTAGTACCTGGGGCTCAGGACAGCCCAATTTGAAATGTCCCCATGGCACAGATCATTTGAGGAAAATAATTCATTTTCTTATAGGCAAAGGATGATTTATTCAATTTATCTGAGAGCTCTAAGTCACAAAGTAATTCACAGTGCCACCCAAGTTAAACATTATGTTGCTATAGCAATATCAAAAAACATTTTCACCATCATTCTGAACATACTGGTATAGTTTTTGTAACACACTTCAGCTATTTGTAATCAGTGACATTTATAAAGTAACTGTCAGCATCAGACCCTCCTTCTTAGTACAATTCATTTCAATCTACTTCATTGTTCATTTTGACCTGGCATTGTGTCACTCCTTTCTGGATGATCTGGTTTCCCTGGACCTTATAATTCTATCCGCTCACATAAACTACTTGCAACAACATCCCTTGGATTTGACTGGCTAGTTCCCTTCCAATGATACTTCATTCCACCATTCGCTGGGTAGCTATTGATGAAAACAAAATACTTCGTAGGGACATGTATTACTTGTAACCTTTGATAGATGTAAATTGGCCAGTATGAAGCACAATGGCTACTAAATCACATCAACGATGCAGGCATGGCATCAATTTAATGTTCATTACCTGGCATCCATCAGAGGGACCAGATGAGATTTTTCAGCACTGGATAGTAAGCTGGAAGAAGCAGCCTTCCCCTCCAAGGTCCCATGATGCCCTGTGTGAACACCATCAACCTCACAGATCTTCTGCTTCAACTGCTGGATTTCATGTTCTAACCTACAGAGATGGGAATTAAATGGATTCAATCATTAATTGTATTTCCAGAGCATATTCACTGGGCGGGATGTTGTTCCAGGAACCATGGAGAATCAAGACAAAAACTCTTTGTACAAGGACACACACAAAAAAATTAATTCAAAAGGAAACCTGTACTGCTGTGTTTATTGCAGCACTATTTACAATAGGTAAGATACGGAAACAACCTAAATGCCCCCAAATAGGTGACTGGATCAAGAAGATGTGGTATATATATACACAGTGGAATATTATTCAACAATCAAAAAAGATAAATTCATGCCATTTGCAGCTGGGAAGGATTAAGCTGGGAAGGATTAAGCTTAGTGAAATAAGTTAGAAGAAAAAAATATATTGGATGGTTTCATTTATAGGAGCAATACAGGGGAATCAAATAAGGGATCAGGAAAAAAAAGACAAAACTAGCAGGCAACTATAAATCATAGACATTCAGCACGGAAGAGTGAGGGAGAGGGATTAAAACAGGGGTGGGAAAAGCCAAGAAACTATGGTGATGGTTCATGGGTAACTTAGTGGTGGGAATTTTATGGGGACTACACCTGAAATGAGAAAGCAAACTGTATAAAAATGAACAATGATGTAAAAATACACATATAAATATAAAAATCTTTGTACAAAGACAAACTCTTTATCAAAGACATTTACCTTCTAGCAGAAAGGACACACACACGATAAGACACTATATAAGGCAGTAATAGGCTACAATAGGGGCTCAGAACAGTGCTGCAGGTATCCAAAAGTTAGAGAGAGCTTTACTGTCAAAGGCAAAGATGTGCCCACTGTATTCCAAGCAAAACCTCAGAGGTGGGTGTATGGGTCTGGGTCCTCTACCCCTGCTTCAAAAGTGGCTGATATTGAGTACATTATAAGGATCCCACTAAATATTTCTGCTTGCAAAAGAGGGCTAGGGTCAACAAGTTGTACAAAACCACAAATCTAGAAAAACATTCATGGTCAAGGCAGTTCTGAGCCTTTAGAGGCCAACTGAAATTTGGATATTTGGAGATGATATAGAAGATTCTCCAGGTAAAGAAAGCAATATAACTAAAGGGCTAAGCCAAGAAAACCAGGAATCTACTTTGGTCAAGGCAAAAGGCATGGAAAAAAGAAACAGGTGAAAGATCTATGAAAGAAGGCTGAGTATTTCAAGAAATTAAAACAAAACATAAATTGTTGAACAAAACATTTGTTTCTAATGATAAATGATACAACTAATATGAGGTCAAGTATGTGTAAGGCCATTCTCACATGGGCCCAGGCCTCCTTGAATGCAGGGCCATCAGGCTAGAAGGCCCAGCCTCTGAGTAAATTTGGCCCAAGGAACAAAAGGTGCACCCCAGTCACTATGTGAACTGGGATAAGTGAATGAAATTTGGGTCTCAATCTTATATATCAAGTGAGAGTACCCATCACTTTCTCTAGATTCCTTCAGCTCCAAATCCAAAAATCAGAGATTCAAACTTCAGATGCTGCAGCATGATGTTACCTGCATTCAGTGTCACCAGCAGCAACCTGGCTGCTCCATGCTCATTATGAAAGCCAAGTTCTTAACTCTCAGAAATGTGACTTACAGGGACAGCAGGGTTAGCCCTCATGAATTCCATAAGAGGCAATACCCAGCTTAACTCAGCCCTTCATCTGTCTATTGGTTAGCAAGTACTTACTGAGCATCAAGTCGCGCAGCACTTAACATTTTCAAAGGAGGAGGGAACGAGCATGACAGAATGTTAGGAACCAGGTGGTGGGCAAAGAACCAGTGAACAATATTAATACATCAGACTCTAGCTGATTGCCTTTTAAATGAGCACTGATCCTTCAGGACTGAGGTAGTGGAAAACACTCCACAGAGCAAAGGAATTTGAGTGGGGTCCTGAAGACTGAGTGCAATTACACGGGTGGTGAGGGACAAGCAGGACATTCCAGAAAAGGGTCACAGGGCATGTGAAGAACTGGCCTGCTGAATAGCAGCTCCATGGCCAGTAGACAAGAGGACAAAGTAGTTAAAAGTTGGATGGTACATAGACCTAGGTATATCTAGATTCATTTGCAGCTCTGCCTCTTTCTGTGTGACTTTTGTCCCCAGTGGTTAGATAACTATTGAATGGAAAAAGACAGAAAATTGATGAAATCTTGTTCATAAAGCAAACCAACAAGGAAAGCCAAGTTCAGCATACTGCTGTCCGACCTGGTGCCACATGAAGTTATTATTTCACACTTGTGAACTTCACAAACACCCAAATCAGGCTGGCTTGGCCATGAGAACCCAGAGAGATCATAAAACACAAAACCAAAACCCAAAGAAAGCTGCAAGAGCATCACAGTCAGAGCAAAGAGCTCAAAATCTACTGTCCTGAATTAGGTCTTAGCAAAGTCCACTCCATCAAAACACATGAAGTTAAAAGACTCCTTTGTGTGGCTCCGGGAGGAATGCTGAGTTGGGAAAATCACTGCCATGGAAATCAAGATACTGAAGCTATTATAAAGGATTAATACTAATGGCCAGGGAGTGAAGCCAGTTGACAAAAGCCAGGGACATCAAGCTAAAAGCTCACCCTGCATTCGTATTGCACACTGCAGGGTACAAATTGAGAGCATGCCCTCCACTGCTTTAAATTTCCTGGGACTAGAGTTTTGTCCACCAATTTCATTTACATAACATACCTATGATCATTTTCTTAAACCTCCGACCTATTCCTCTGAAGTAATAGCATCACAGTTTCTGGTAGTTATTTGTTGCCGCTTTGCCTTAGGGAATTACCAGAGAATGAGGTAAACAGAATCCATAGTTAAAGGAGATCACTGGAAAGAAGGTTGTCCTGACCTTCCCAAGCAAAATGATGGACAGAGATCCAGCTGACTGCCTTGTAAATCAGCACTGATCCAGGCCTCTGCCATTGTCAAGCTGGGCTCCTCAAGGTGAGCAGAGTGGGCTTCTGCTATGAGCCTCTCAAGAATGCTATGCAGAGCAGGAATGCTGGGGAGGAGGCAGCACTCCAAGACTTCCAACTTGGGTCAGTTAAGGCTTCCATTGACTAAAGGGTCTGGAGTTAAAGAAAATACACAGACTACCTCAGAGAACCCCAAATCAGGTGATATTTGCACACTAGGCAGCTGGCTGGCCACCTTTCTGGGAGTGTTGGTATCATGTCTGCAGAGCTACCAGAAAAGATATTCTCATATTCGTGTTACTTATTGTTTTGAGAACCTATTATCTGAGAAGCAAGATAACAGGGAATAGGCAGAGGATAGTAAGTATTCTTTCTTTACCCTGAAAATGGTACTCTAGTTCTCCATTTTACTTTTGACAACACCAAAGTGGTATCAATAAATCATCACCAAACATGTTCAAATATACCACTGTGTTCAGAACATCTGGATAGTATTGTTCAGTTGCTTGTTTCTTAATGCAGAATCCTGGGGTCTCCCCTCATGGGACTGGAAGAAGTAATGCAGTCCAGATCCCCACCAGCCAGGGAGAGCAGTACACTCTGGGCACCTGTAAGTGCAGGGATGAGTTTCACTAAAACAAAAGCTGGTCATGGAGATGTTGGCCAATGGTAAGGAAGGGGAAGGGAGTAGGAGCAAGAGGAGAAAGAAGTAAAGAAGCTAGCAAAGAGAGAGGAAAAGAGACAGGTGGCAGGAAGGAAAAGAGGGAGGGAGGGAACAGGAGCAAAGGGAGAAGGAAAACAGGATGGGGGAGGGAAAACAGGGAAAGAGAAGTGTTGGAGGAGGGTAAAAGAAGGGAAGGGTGGAATGAAGAAGGGAGAGAGGAATTTTTCCTATTCATCAATTATTAAAACATACACAATTGTCAGGTTAGTGGGGTAACAGATAAGGATTTTGTTTGTATGTGTGTTTTCAACTTTAGGTCAAAGATTCTAAAATAAAGGTCTTAAGGAGAAAGAAAAGAATGCAGAGGCTGCTTGTAAATCTGACAGTGTATTAGAATCTAAAGAATTAGATTGCACTCTAAAAGAATTACTCCGTGAAGACAGTGAGAAGCGCTCTATGAGAAGGAGAAAATGTACCAACCATCATTTGACACCAATGGTATGCCTCACCTTCCCTTCCCAAGTCTCACCTTTCCTGGTCCTTCTCCAGAGCCTCCTGCTCAGCTTCCAGGCTGGCTCGCAGCCCTGACTGCTCACTGCTGCTGCTGTTCAGAGATGCTAGCTTCTGCCTCTGCTCCTCTATCTCCAGGCCCAGGGTGGAGCGCCGCTGCAGCGCGGAGTGCCTCCTCTCCAGCCTGGCCACGGCACGCTCCAGCGCCTCTCTCTGCTGCTTCTCTCGCGATTCCAGAATCTCCTTTTCCTTTTTCCTCACTTTTTCTTCCTGACGTGCAATGTTGGCAGTGAATTCAAAGGTGGCTTGGAGCTTCTGCAGCTGACTCGCATTAGCCTGGTACTGCGCAAGTTGTTCTTCTTTTTCTTCCATCTCTTTTTCTACTTGATAAAGGGTATTGTCTAAGCTGAGAGGTCCTCTGTCAAGGATTTCAAAGGCCCTCTGCTTTTCTTCTAACAGGGTGGGCAAATGATTCTGCAGGAGGTACTGGAGCTGGCGCTCTTTATATTGCAGCCTGTACTCTGCTGGTTTTATTTTCTCTAGATCTTGAGCCACCAGGATAACATTTGCCACACTATCATCATTCTTTCCCAACAACCGGAATTTGTCCTCATTTTCTGACTTGAGACGCTCCAGGATTTCCTGTTCTTCTTCAACCTCCTTTTTCAGGAGGTCTTTCTGCTCGACCAGATCTTTCTCCAAGTTGGCCAATTTGACCAGCTGCCTTCTCTTGAACTCTAGGAAATGCAGCTGTGCTCGTTCTAACTCCTCGCCACCAACGTCCCCCTCCACCCGCGCCTCCTTCGCCCGCAGGAGAGACTCCCTGATGCCTTCCAGGTCGCGTCTCTCCTCCTCCACGCGCTGGACTTCCCCTCGCCGGAGGAGACGGATCATCTCCTGCTTCTCTCGAAGCTGCTCTTCCAGATGGGCCACGAGCATGACCTGCTCCTTTTCCTGCTCCTCTAGTCTCTTTTTTTCCAGTTCGAGTTTGGCATACTGTTCATCCTTTTCCCTTTTGAGCCGGTCCAGTTCTTGAAATATCTGAATCTTCTCGGCCTTCTCATTGTGGTTGAGTTCTTGGAGGCGTTGGAGTTCTTCTTGGACTCGGAGAAAGCTCTCTTCTTCTTGCTTCTTCTTCTGCAGCTCAATTTCCTGCTGTTCCCTCAGCCTTTCCTCTTCAAATTTTTCCTTCTCGGCGAGCAGGTCCTTCAGCCTGCTCTCTATGTGGAAACTGCGGCGCTGGAGACTCTCCTCCCGCTTGCGAATCTGGCGCTGGACGATCTCCGTCTCCTTGCGCTGCGTCTCCACCTCCTGCTGCATCCGTTCCAGTTCTGCTTTATCGGATTTTTGCTTTTCCTCCATTTCTTCTATGAGTTTCCTGGAATGCAAAATGTTGACTGATCATTAATTTGATCACTAACTGAAATGTTCTGATAATGAACATACCACAGAAAGCCAAACCCTTCCTTAGAATTAAAAAAGAGGGGGGACTGCTGACTTTTAATTTCCAGCAGCATGCTGCTTAATATTTTTTTTTTGTATTCTTTAACTGTCCAACATATCATTCGCCTAATCTCCTGAAGTAGCCTCTGATATCATTTCTTTGTAGAGTCTGTATGCATAATGTGTTATGCATGGCATCATTTAAAAAGCCCCCTGAGCTCAAACAGAAAGAGCCATGCCCAATTTAAATTTAAATGTGAGTAATTTTATTCAGCCCAATGGCAAAAACTCTGTTACAAAATGACATTAAACAAAAATGCTTATGCTGTCCTCAACTCATTGGGGTCAAATATCAAAGTCGAGATAACTGATAGTTCATTGTTCCAGCTCAAACATCTAAAGCTATTTAGCTTTTAATCACCAAGACAAATGGCAATCATCAAATGATGCAAAATATTAGTTTCTTAATATATAACATTGAAAACAACAGGAATCTCCATTAGAATACTTAAATGCCTGATTTTGGGGGTTACATGTTCTGCTTTGACCCAGAGAACAATGAACCCCACTGGATGCTAACTCAAAAGAAAAGGAGTTTTATCAGAAAACTGATATTTTATATATTTATATATATAAGCTTTCCAAGTTAATAAAACAACCCCCCCCCACACACACACCCACACACACACAGACAGAAGTGAATGAAGACTATGAAAAGGCAAATTATATAGAGGGAAGTACAACATAAGGAAAGATGTTTAAAAAGGGGAATATAAGGAAGAGAAACTTTTTTCTTTTGTGTTTTTTTTTTTTTTTTAAATTCGGGATATTATTAAAAGAAGAACTACTTGGAGTAAAATTTAAACAAGTATATTTATTTGGAGTATTAAATTTAATGGATGTATTAAATTTGTCTACTATTCCCCCTTTTCACAAGTGTTTGAAGATGAACTATGTAAAAATTTCAAACATAAAGCAAAAGTAATCAGCTGAAGAGACATGACCTACAGTCAATAGATGAATAGAGCCAGAGTGAGGCATTGAAACAGACATAGACATAATCAGTTGAGGGACTTAACCTGAGAAGTCAGATTATGCTAGTGCTAAATCCCATAACCTACATGGCTTACCTTTTACTTTCTAATTTTTCCAATTCTTCTCGCTGTTGCCGCTCAAATTCAAGTCTAATAAAATTAAGTGAAAATAAGTTACTTTTCTGAAAGAGCTTTTCTTTCTCTTTTACTCTATAGAGTTACATATTTTAAAAAGCATCAGTTTATCAAGTATCATTTTAATTATCACGGATTAGCAAGTTTAAAATGCACTCTTTGTTCTATAACTATGATTAGAAATTAGACATACTTTTTTGAGTGTTTGGTTCAGACTGAAAAGAAGATATTTTACTCAAAGGAAAAGGAAAAGAAAAGAAAAAGAAAAGAAAAAAAAAAACACCGTACTGGAAAGGCAGAGTTAAAGGAGACTTCTAAGTTATAAGCATGTCTACTCCATGCAATTTAGTCACTGATGAGTACATAAAAACAGAGAATCTCTACCTTAGACAGATGGGTCCTTTTATAGGGAAAAGACTGCCAGGGAGATAGAGAGGGAGAAAGCACAGACATCAATTAAGAAAAGAATTAACTGGGGAACCTCAGGAGAAAAGCAGTAAGGTACTTATAAAAGCCAATAGCCATGCACAAATTGAAATGTGTTTTTATAAATATCACATTACTCAATAATTTCTTCCTCCAAAAAGTTAGCTTATGTTATATTTTGCATGCATTCCATGAAAATTATAGTGACAATAACTATTTAGCAGTAATAATTGTGAACAGTAATCAAAGTCATATTTTTATTACTTTATAGAGACTTATAATGCACACAGGTTCAAGATCTTCCTCTAATCCATACTTATCCATTAAAAGGGTTACTAGGGCTAAACAGGTCACAAACAGGCTTATCACAGTCATAGCAAATAAAGGGATATAGGTGATAAAAATTTTTAGACAACTCACTGGACCTATTACTAATAAAAGCTAATTTCTTTTTAAATACTAAAATTATGTATTGCAGGTTCCAAAACTCCTATTAAACAGTATGAAACTGTAACCCTTAAAAACATTTTCTTGTTGTGGTAGATGACAGATAGTTAAAAGACAGAACTACAAAAAAAAAATCACCATTAATTGTTTTCCTTGGATAACGTGCAAATCCAGATAAGTAACAGCAATTCTTATAATGAACTAACAAATATTTCAAATAAACATGTTTCCAATTTAATTGGGTCTAATATTGAGGGTGAGCTTTTGGAAGCAGAACTCAGTGCTGTGCTGAGAAATTTACATGTTATCTTAGCAAATATTTTTGAACTCTTTTAAATTGCAATATAATTGACATGTAACAGTTTCAAATGTACAGCATGATTTACTTGTATGTACTGCAAAATGATCACCAAAATAAGTGATGTAAACATCTGTTACCATATATTTATAAAATTTTCTTGTGATGAGAAACTTACTCTCTAAGTGACTTTCAAATATGCAATACAGTGTTATTGACTATAACCACATTCTGTACATGACATTCTCATGAGTTACTCATTTTATAACTGAAAGTTTATAATACATTTTGTACCCAGCAAATCCTTAAGATAGTAAATAGTATCTCCATTTTATAGATGAGGAACCCAGAATTCAGATGTAAGAAAAAATGTGCCCAAATCATAATGCTAACAATGTGGTGGAACTTGGATTTGAACCCATGACAACCTGTTTTCAAAATACCCTCTATTAACTCACTTTATGAACAATGCTCAAATCTGTGATATACAATAAAGGTATTATATCCTTCATTGAAACTTGCTATTTAGGGTTCTTTTTTATCATCCTGTCAATTAAAATAATCTGTAGGTTCTGGGCACTACCATCTCTGAGAAATCAATCATATAAATATGTAAGAAAGGTATTGGTCAGTTGCCAAGTCCAGTTCAGATAACTACATTAAGTAGGTATAGGTTCGGTTAAAGTAAATACATGATCATTCTCTTCATATAACAATAAACAGAACCTGAATGACTTTAAGGGGGACATCCAAACCAAGATGTCCAGAAAGCAAGGGGATGTATATCACACGAAGATCTGGTGCTCAGGCTCGTATCAAGGATGGAGATATATAGTCTTGGATTCACCAGCATCTAGATAGCAACTGAAACCACAAGAGTGGATGAGATCGCCTAGAACATATTTATGAAATGAGCAAAAGAGAGCTTAGTGCAAAATCTGGAAGACAACAGACACTGTAGTGACTGGTAGCTAAGACTGGGCTCTCAAATGAGGCTCGGAGTAGCACTTAAGGACAAAGAGAAAATCAGGAAAGGATAGACATAGGAAAGTAGAAGGAAGGTGCTCAAGAAAGAAGATGGGATCTGTAATACAAAATATTTCAGGAATGTGAAATAAGATTTGCCTAGGACAATTCATTTAACTTAGCAAAACAACAGTCACTGGTGACCTTTTTGAGTTGGGGGGTCAGACATCAGTGGGCTGAAGAGTGAATGGAAGGAAAACAGACTGTGAAGGTAGATATGGTAGCTTTCAGAGGATGAGTGTTCATTTTAATAGCTGCAAGAGACTTGCACATCTTTAAATCATGATGCAAATAAGCCAGAAGAGCAGAAAAAGTTGGGGAGAGACTTATATCTGATGGGCAGCACTCCCTGAAGCCATTTGAGAAGAGCAGAAGAATGGCTAAGAACAACGGCTTAGATAATGTGCAAATCCAGATCAGTAACAGTGATTCTTACAAAGAACTAACAAATATTTCAAATAAACCACAAATTTTACTCTGGAATAATCTCCCAACCTCTCTACATTTCATTTCTTTACCTGAAACTACACTCAGAAATCATCCTAGTTTTCTGTGGGTAGATATCTCAATGTGAATGCTCACTGATAGCAGTTAATAAATATTAAGTATTATTCCAATAGTGTCCATAGAGCAGATAGGGGCAGTTATCCTGAGAAAGACAAAAGAGCAGTTAAGCCATTGAAACAAGAAACAAGAAAGGATACATAACAAGTAGACATGGAAATTGAGGGTGTTATACTTTTGAGGACTTCTGTATTCTCAGAAGGAAGGTCCTCTGCTAAAAGTGAGGAAGAACAGTGGTGGGGTTAAAGGCATAGAGATCATGTGGATTGTTTTTAATAGGTGAAGGAGTCTATGGGCAAGAGAAATGATAAAGCCAACAGCAAAAAGGGTGTCTGGACATCATTCAAGAGTAAAGACCATCAATTTACAAAGGTATTGATCTTTATAATGACATGGCTTTCTTTTGCAGCACTGAGCTGAGATGTCTGCATATAAGTTCAGACTAGGGATTTCAATGGTTCCAGAACAGAGACCCTAGCAACTGAGAAAACAGAAAGGCCATCTGATAATTTGGGAAATGGACGGCTCAGACATTAGGGATGAAAACTTGATTAGACAGGGACAAGACAAGGTTTACAGAAGAAAGTATGAAATCAAAGAAGTCTCCAGACTTAGAGGTGAGTAATGCCTAAGTAACTACATGGTAGGATGAGCTATCTATGTGCAATAACCCAATGTAACAACAGGACTTACAAAGATGGTGAAGCTTAAAAGAAAATGCCTGGAAGGCAAGTTGACAACAGTAAAGACAAGCAAAGAGTGCAACAGACAGAATGGCTGAGAGGAGGACCTCGCAGACGCTAGGCTGATGAAATCACTGATTCCTACTCTGGAGAAGTTTTTACTTTAGAATATTTAATTGGAAAGGAAAAGGGAAAAGAATATGGATGAGTGGCAGCTATCAAATTTAGATAAAGGAGGCCATAGCTCTGATCTCCTTCCAACCCTCCTAAATGTAGAATCAATTGAAATGTAAAATTCTGAGTCAAGAAATCAGAGCTATTCCCATTTTACTTCTTAATGAGGAAGTATGACTTTGTTTCTATGACCTGTTTCTAAATTGAAAAAAAATTACCATTTTATACTCAAAGCAATGTCATTGATAAATAATGATTCCTATTTCCTCCAAAACAAGAGTTAAAAAAAAAGGCTCAGTCTTAAAGTCCTAAACAGTCTAAGAAAAGAGTCATAAACTCCGAGACTACATGTTCAATATGAGGTGATATAAGCCCTTGCTGGTACTGTGTAACTTTTAAAAAATATTATATCTTTACTAATCATACTTTAAAATACACCTCCTTCCATAATCAATGATAATTATTTCAAATAGCAAATCTTAATAGACTGTAAAATATAAATGTGAATGTGTTAATATCAAGGGAAGATTATCCACTTCAATTGTAATTTAATGTGACTTCATTTTAAGTAAGTGTAATTCACTATCTTACTTTACTGGAATTATCTTGACCCCAAATGTTAATTTCCTAAATGTTACGATTAAAAGGAAAACAGCAAAAGGAAATAATTTTTACAGCTGTTTTTAGCATTTTAAAATGGCATTTGGAAGTATACACACTGTGTTAGGTCCCACTAAAAAACATGGCATAAAATCTATTTTTATGAGAAACAGTCTTTTCCTTTGCATTAAAAGACCTCTAGCATTTTTAGGCATAAATGCACATCTTGCAATTTATACTTCTGTTTTCATCTGCAATGAAAAAGCATTGGGGGTGCAAATTTCTCATTTTGCAATATTACATTGAAAGTGAGACTGTGACTATCAACAAAATGAAAAAGAAAAATGTAAATGAACTGACAGCTTAAATAGTCTAGCCCTTGCGTTGTCCGAATGGTGATTAGTTTAGTACCTCTGATGTCATTTCGCTTTCTAAAAGAAGGAAAATGGCTAGTCAAGTACAGTAATGCTTAAGCTAGTAGCAGCAGGGGACAGGGATGGGGGTGGGGGTGGATGAGCAGGGTAATGGAAGCTGAACTGCAGACTAAAGAAGCACTGGAGGGGAGATCTCATTTGCAAAGGCACCTGAAGGTGAAGCAATCCAGGATATGGATATTTTACTATACTGTTTCAGCTGGTATGTGAATAGGTAAGAGGAAATTTCTTGATCAATGGGTAGGCCTGGATTTTTCATACATGACTTTTAGGTTATAATCAAATACAGGGAGGGGTTCATGCAATCACACAGGTTCTGTGTTCAGAAGTGCCTCACATTGGAGATATGTTTTCATCACCTTG